GCCACCACCACCACCACCCTCGACGGCCGCCGTGGCGCGAGCTGCAAACGCCGTCGCAGTTGCGGGCGCGGCGGCGGCAGCAGCGGCGGCTGGCATTGCCATCGCGGCAGTGACAGCTGCGGCGTTGTCGCCTTCCGGACCGGCCACGGTGCCGCCTGCACCGCCCGCGTCTCTTCCGCTGCCACCGCCGCCGTACGCCCCAGCGGCGGTCGTCGCTGCCGCACCGTCCCTGGAGCGCTGGCGGGCGAGGTGCGCTTTAATGCTGGCGAACGTCGTCGGCGTCTCACGTGAGATCGGCAGCGGCGGCGGCGGCGGCGGCAGACCGACGGAGGCTGCAGTGGCGCCGCCGGCGCCGTACGTCGGCCCCGCATCGCCCCCGCCTCCGCCGCAGGTCCCATGCGCCGCCTCTGCCGCCGCGGTGGCGGCCGCGGCCGCGGCGGCGGCGGCTCCTATCGGCCTGCCCGTAGGCCTGCCGGTCCTCGATACCCCCCCCTGGGCATGCTGCGACCTCCTCTCCATAGCGTGGTGCTGCTGCTGCTGCTGACAGATTTGGTGGCTTTGACGATATGGGTGGTGGTTTGCGTGGTGGTTTTGGTTCTGATGATTTTGGTGGTGAGGCAAAGAAGGATGCTGTCCACCACGTTGCTGCTGCTGCTGCTGCTGCTGCTGTGGTGGCGGATGCTGCGGTTGCTTGACTTGCTGGCTGCGTCGGTTTCGGTTTTGGTGGCTGTGGCTAGGGTTATGTGGATTCTGCGGGCGGAGCTGCGGCGAGTGGTGCTGCTGGTGCTGTTGTTGTTGTTGCTGCTGCTGGGGTGAAGGTGCTGGGGCTCTACCCCCCGGATGGCTCAGTCCCTGGCTGATGGGACTGTAGCCTGGTTCCCGACGGCCGAATTCAGCGCCGTCGCCGAGTGCGACGCCCGATATCGCAGATGCGGCGGCGGCCATCCTGCAGTACGCCGCTGCTTCAGCGGAGTCGTACTCCATCTCACAGGCCGCGACGCCGGGCCTGGAATCCAGAACGTTATCGACAGGCAGGGCAGACAGACAGACAGACAGAGTACGGTTAGGTGCCCGTGGCCAGCGCCAGGCCCGGATCGATGTGTAACAGGTATACATACAGACCGAGACACACACACACATATATATAGAGGCGGCATTTCAAGCGCTTCGCTCTCCCCTCATACATACATACATACATACATACATACATACATACATACATACATACATACATACATACATACATACATACATACATACATACATACATACATACATACATACATACATACATACATACATACATACAGACCGCACCTGGACACCTCCGTCCGCGCTTCGGCCTCCTGCCCCGCCATGTCGCGTTCGTGGTCGGGTCGCCGGACAGCCTGCTGCTGCTGCTGCTGCTGCAGCGATAAAGCACTTGCTGCCGGACGCCGCGCATCGCCGCCACCATCGCCAGCCACACTCCCGCCGCCGCCGCCGCCACCGCCGCCAGTGCTGCTGTCCGGACCTCCCCGCCAACCCCCTGACGCCGCGGCCCCGTTCCCTTCCACCACCACCCCCAGCATCTCCCTGCCGTACGCTTGCGTAGCAGTGTCGTACAAGTTCTCGTCGTCATATTCCTCGTGCACCTCGCCTCCGCCACCGCCGCCGCCGCCCAGCCATGCAACAGTTCGCTCGCCGCCGCCGCCGCCGCCGCCGCCGGGGCCGCCGCCACCGTCATCGCCATCACAATCTCGGCGCTGTACGGGTCCCCGACCGCGGGTTTCTGCAGGCAGTGGCAGCCCCGTCACCTCACCTCACTTCACCTCACACCACATCATGTACGAATGCCGTACCCCACAGTTCCTCAAAGATTTATGATTGATGAGCGGCAGCACCCCCAATCCCCCACTTACCCATGTCCACCATCTCCACGCTACGGCACGACCCTGGCGATCCTGGCGGTATGACCGCATCCGCCGCCGCCGTCACCGCCGCCGCCGCCGTACCAACGGCTACGGCGGCATGCGTAGCCTGCTGCTCCTCCTCCTCCTCCTCCTCCTCCTCCCCCCCTTCCTCCTCCACTTCCATACAACGGCCTGCACTTCCTCCTCCTCCCCCTCCGCCAGCTCCGCCAGCTCCCCCGAAGCCAAAGCCGAAACCACCACAATCACAGTTGTCCTCGTCGTCGCACTGGCAACACTGCAGCCTACCCACCCGCCCAGCGCCATCCCCCCCTGCCCGCTCGGGACCCCCCCCCAACACCGCCATCACCGTTCCCGGGCCCCCCGGATGTCGCACGTGGGTACGGGGGGTCTGGGCCGCCACGACCGCCACCCGGGTTTGAGCTTGTGTCTGGGTCTGGGTCTGGCTCTGCAACTGGGCCGCCTGCATGCAGGACAGCACAGCACAGCACAGCACAGCACAGCACAGCGAGCCGCCGCCGCCGCCGCCGCATGCGCACCCAATGGAGCAGTGGCTGTTGCGCTGGAGGGACAGGAACATGATATACATGGTAATGATAATGTACACAGCACTTACAACAACAATAATCTTACCGTGCATCAACAGATATATGCGACTACTGATACATAGGAGATACAAAACATCTCCGCGCCAAAAAAAGCAGCAGGAGCAGGAGCAGAGATGCTGGTGTCTGTACGCGTGTCTGTCTGTCTGTCTGTCTGTCTGTGTGTATGCAACGTCCGCACCCACACGGCGCGGCTCAAATCATAACAGCATCGCCACCCACTACCACTACCGCTACCACCATCCCCCCCACCCCCCCCAGCCTCACTACCTCCCACCCCCCCCACCCCCCCACCCCCCCCACCTGCCACCTGATTCCCGCATCACTGGGTTTGTCCCGCACCACACAGCAAACCAGGTAGCGGCCGCAGGAGCTGAAGTGGATGCCCATCTCGCTGCGGGGGGAGGGGGGCAAGGGCGGAGGGGAGTGACGTACGGAAGACAAGGGACACGGGTATGTATGTATGTATGTGTGTGTATGTATGTATGTATGTATGTATGTATGTATGTATGTATGTATGTATGTATGTATGTGTATGTATGTATGTATGTGTGTGTGCGGAATGTGGAGAGTGATAACGAACATGATGGCAATTAGCTACTATAACCTAGGGGCCTACTTGTCGTACCACCCCGGGCCCCCATCTCACACACCACCCCCTCCCCACCCCTGCTTCTCCCCCCTATCCCATACACATACACACACACACGCACCTGCACAGCACCACCCTGGGCAGCACCAGCAGCTCCTTCTTCAGCTCCCGAGCCTGGTCCCGGAAGTCCCAGAGCCGCACCGTCACGATACACGGCGTGTCGTGGTTGGCGGCGGAGGGCAGGTCGGGAGCGATCTGGAACCACCACCACCACCACCCCCCGGTAGTATTGAGGGGTAGTGTTGGGGGGCATTGGGGGAGGGGGTTACTGGGGGGTCATTTGGGGTTGTGGGTTGGGTGGGTTGGGTGGGTTGGGTGGGTTGGGTGGGTTGGGGGTGGAATCATGCGATGCTGGAAACGCATCCGGAATGAAACCCCTCTGACGGTGCGGCCGGAAGGCATCCAGAAGGTCCGCAACCGCCCCCCATAGGATGTCCAGCGCGGGATGAACCGAATGTGTGTGTGTGTGTGTGTGTGAGTACGGCCTTACACCCAGCCTCGTGCATTACGTGGGTTAAAATTTATCCTCTCCCCCCCCCCCCGCCTGCGTTCCTATTCGTGG